TAATTACTTATTGTTTTATTTCCTTATAGAACTATATTTTGTGTTGAAGTCTCTGGCTCCTTTTCTTTCTCTGTTGCATGAATTAGGACCTGGCCTATTCATGCCCAGAGGTAACTGGCCAATAGGATTCAGTTATGTCCAGTCCTCCTGTTAGGATGTGGCTATAATTACTCACTTTAGCATTGTATGCTATCACAAGATCTATGCTAATTATTTATCATTTTATTTCCTTATAGAGCTATATTTTGTGTTAAATTCTCTGGCTCTTTTCTTTCTCTGTTGCATTAGATCCACCTTTAGGTGAAGACACACACACACCATTTGTTTCCACATTCCTGTCATCTGCATGAATTAGGACCTGGCCTGTTCCTGCCCAGAGTTAACTGGCCAATAGGACAGAGGCGGATCGAGCCCAGATTATTTTCAATACATTTTTTAATAGGAAAACAGACCTCCCACCAATGATCTGTTAGAAATTGGTTATAATTACTCACTTTAGCATGGTATGCTATCACATGATCTATGCTAATTATTTATCATTTTATTTCCTTATAGAGCTATATTTAGTGTTAAATTCTCTGGCTCTTTTCTTTCTCTGTTGCATTAGATCCACCTTAAGGTCAACACACACACACACACACACACCGTTTGTTACCACATTCCTGTCATCTGCATGAATTAGGACCTGGCCTGTTCATGACCAGAGGTAACTGGCCAATAGGACTCAGTTATGTCCAGTCCTCCTGTTAGGATGTGGCTATAATTACTCACTTTAGCATTGTATGCTATCACATGATATGTGCTAATTACTTATTGTTTTATTTCCTTATAGAACTATATTTTGTGTTGATGTCTCTGGCTCCTTTTGTTTCTCTCTTGCATTAGATCCACCTTTAGGTCAACACAAACACACACCATTTGTTGCCACATTCCTGTCATCTGCATGAATTAGGACCTGGCCTGTTCCTGCCCAGAGGTAACTGGCCAATAGGACTTGGTTGTGTCCAGTCCTCCTTTGAGGAGGCGGATGGAGCCCAGGAGATAATGCCCATCACCCAGATCTCAGGGCTCTTTGCCCACTGACAACTCTGATAACAACTTAATGGTTAGGACACAGACCTGTGGGTTGGGAGATGCTAATGCTAATGCTAATGCTCATTTGGGATCAGGAGTCTGGATCCAGACTCCTGGATCGGGAAGATCGGGACCAGCCGAGTCCCGGAGCTCCCTGGATGGGAAGTGTGTCCGACGCTCCTTTTTATTATGATTTGAAACATGTCTGATGTCAACCAGGAAAAAAAAAAAAAAAGTCCCCGCCAAATGAGTGTCTGGAGTGTAATTAGAGAGAACACACATGAAGAGCATCTCCTGGCGGCTGTTTGAAGCTCTCCCCGTCTCCATGGAAAGCTTTGATGAATGAGACCTTTGTGCTTTGCTGTGTTTGAAATTATTACCGACGCAAGCTACTCCGGGGGACTGGTGACGGGTCCGTTGATATACGGTACCCCTCGAAATATGCCAATTTACTCAAACAATAATTTACTCCATGCAAAAAAATTACAACTCCTTTCAGTGTCAGCCGAGTTTAAGTATGGATCCAAACATATGCAACAGCCTTCTCTTTTTTTTGTTTGTGCTAACACACACAGAAAGAAAAGACTCTAGTTCCACTCTGGCCGCTGTTCATCCCCCAAAAAATTCAAATAAGTTGCAATAAAAACTGGGTAACACTCGGTCTAATTCGGCTAATAAACGGTACTGTTGACCAGGGATGTTCCGATCCAGCTTTTTTTACTTCCGATCCGATCCCGATCCCGACCTATCAGAGCATGTGTTAAAGTTTAAAGTTATTTATCTACTTACTTAGTTGTCAGACTCATGTTGAACAGGGATTTACTCTGATAAAAACTTAATGGTTAGGACACAGACCTGTGGGTTAGGAGATGCTAATGCTAATGCTAGTGTGGGATCGGACTTATAAAAGAAATCTGACTTAAAAAAAAACCTTGATCAAGAGTCTAGATCGGAATTTTCTCATGGCAATGGATACACATATTTTTGCGAATATCGGCAGCCAATCCGATCCAAATATCGGATCGGGATAAGCCTACTTCCCATTCTTCTAAATATTCCTCTAAATATCCAATCAGAGGTTCAGAAATGGTCGGATAAAAGCGAATCCAGAGGGGCTCCGGTAGGACTCCAGCCTCCTGCTGTCCGGAGAACATCCCGGTTAGGAGATGCTAATGCTAATGCTAATGCTAGTGTGGGATCGGACTTATAAAAGAAATCTGACTTTAAAAAAAACGTTGATCAAGAGTCTAGATCGGAATTTTCTCATGGCGATGGATACGCATATTTTCGCGAATATCGGCAGCCAATTCGGAAAGGGACAAGCCTATTTCCCATTCCTCTAAATATTCCTCTAAATATCCAATCAGAGGTTCATAAATGGTCGGATAAAAGCGAATCCAGAGGGGCTCCGGTAGGACTCCTCCAGCCTGCTGTCCGGAGAACATCCCGGTGATTATGGTGCTATAGCTTGCGCCTGTGTGTGTGTGTTTGTGTGTGAGTTAAGACATGCTAATGCTAGTGCTAATGCTCGTGTGGGATCGGACTTTAAAGAAAAACTGGATCTGGAGTCTGGATCTGCATTTTTTCTTTTTGCGAATATCGGCAGCCAATCCGATCTAAATATTAGAAAGGGACAAGCTTAGTTCCCATTCCTCTAATATCCTATTGGAGACCTCACATGTGGGGGGAAAAAAAGGAAGAACTGTCCGGAGAACATCCCGGTGATTATGGTGCTCTGGCGTGTGCCTGTGTGTGTTTGTGTGTGTGCGTGTGTTAGTGTGTGTCTGTGTGTCTGTGTGTGTGTGTGTCTGTGTGCGTGTCTGTGTGCGGTGCCTAATTAGAGCACTTGGTCTCTGGAGGATCAGGCGTGGAAGACGACTGTCTCTGCTACGTGACGGAAAGCCGGGGGCGGCGTGCGGCTGATTAGCCGGTGGCGGCGAGGAGGGCCAGACGCAAACAAACACGAATAAGTGGCCGGGCGGGGACCACGCCCGCCAGGCCTCGGCTAAATCCCACCCGGCGCACAGAAAAGAGCCACCAAAGGGGAATTGGGAGCGTTTACAGGAGAGTCCAGAAAGGAAACGGGGAAAATTCATAATAAATCACTTCCTGTGGTTTGTCCCTCCTTGTAGGGTCATCAAAAGTATTTATGCTAAAACGTTGTACCCGGATACAATACTCATTTTCAAAAGTATCGATACCACCCATTAGCTTTGAATTGCTAGCTGCGGCTAACGGCTAATAATAACATACCAATTTTTGGACATTTTGGTAGGGTTGTCAAAAGTATCGATACTCAAAAAAGTATTGATACTAAAACGTTGTATCCAGATGCAATACTCATTTTCAAAAGTATCGATACCACCCATTAACGTGACGTTAGCTTTGAATTGCTAGCTGCGGCTAACGGCTAATAATAACATGCCAATTTTTGGACATCTTGGGAGGGTTTTAGAAAGTATCGATTCTTAAAAAAATATAGATACTAAAACGTATCCGGATACGATACTCATTTTCAATAGTATCAATACCACCCATTAGCTTTGAATTGCTAGCTGTGGCTAATAATAACGTGCCAATTTTTGGACATTTTGGTAGGGTTTTCAAAAGTATCGATACTCAAAAAAACTAAATAATAATACTAAAACGTTGTACCTGGATACGATACTCATTTTCAAAAGTATCTATAAACCCCCCTCTGCGCCTCTTCTCTCTGATTTATTTATATACGTTGTTTATGATCATTAACGTGACGTTAGCCTTGAATTGCTAGATGCATCTAATAACAACACGCCAACATTAATGTGGGCCACCATCAGTAACAGGTCAGTTTGAAACCAAAGACACTAACCTGTCAAAATTCAGTTAAATTTGGGGGTCTTTGTTTTTATCCTTGTGGTATCGAAATGGTATCGAGTATTTTCCAGAGTATCGGTATCGAGTTGAACATTTTAGTATCGTGACAACCTTACATTTTGGGGTGCACGGGCGATAGCATCCTGTGGGATGCCGTGCCTGTTTTACTCCACCAAAACAGCAAAGTGGAGACAGGAAAACATTTTAAAAAAGAAGAATAAAATGCATCGAGAGGACAAATGCAAACAGAGGAGCCACATGGTATAAAAAGATGGCGCACAAATACGATTAAAACCGAGAGCCGTCCACAAACTTCTCCTTCAACTCTACGAGGCTTTGGGAGGATCTCCAGTGTGAGCCCGAGCACCTTTAGCCGAAACTAGTCAATTTCTCCCTGGAGATCAATAAAGTATATTCAATCAATTCAATCAACTACCGGGAATCCACTGGACCGCTTTTGTTTGTGTGTGTGATTCTGAACCCGGATCGGGCTCGTTAAAAAGTGCCGACACTCAGAGTAACGCTCCTGCTCCCAAACGGCTTTGGACGAGGACAGGGGTGGAAATGTGTGTTTGTTTTTCTTAGCGCGGGGATAAGACCTTGTGGGCTTACTATGGAGAGCTGCCCGGCCCTTCCTCCTTCCTCCTCCTCCTCTTCCTCCTCCTCCTCCTCCTCCTGTCATTAGCCGGGACATCGCTTGAGCTCTCACGTGGTTCGGTGGATCCGAGCCACTGGGGATCCTTCA